AGCTCGCTCTTACGTCACTGGGGGGGAAGAAAGATAATAAACCCGTACTCTTCCCACAGAAATTTGGTTTGGTTATGGAGTTGTCGAAGTTGCGTGACTTGTAATGGGAATTAACTACGAAAATGAAATAGTAACAGTTGTTTTTCTTAAGTTGGTTCCCCACCACTGACGTCGTAAACGACTGCTGCTGACCTATTTTGAGCCGACGGTCTTACACTCCTAAAAGCGGGAAAAAGGCAAGTTCAAATCGAATTTTCTCGTAAAAAACAAGAAGTGAACGAAAATGAATATCGATACTTTACCTCACTCCTCTAAAGCTAACTAGAAATGAATGCAAACAATTATACAGTTTTAGGCTTCAGTTCCCCTTTAAGGGTACGTATCACGACGTACCCAGGCATCTTCACTGTTCACTACACATATGATAAGTCACCGTCAATCGCAACTCAGAAGACAGTTTGCTCATTCACAATTTTCAGCCATGGTAACGATCTTCTGAAAATTCCATAAAATCGAGAACAATTGTGCTCAACAGATACCGGAACATATATTCTTTTCGACCCCAGTTTAACAGTGCTACATGTTTCGGCCCAAAATGCCGTAATCACCGGTAACCAAAGCGTACTATAAGAGGTTGAAATAAGAGCCTGTATGGAGTTCAATTTCGAACGAAAACTATTTCTGTTTTCCTTTGAAAAGCTACGATAAAGTTCGAACCTCTCTAAGTGGTGTCCTCTTTATGTCGCCGAAACGCTACTCTTAACCATTTTACCGATTTTGACGCGAATTAAAGAGTACGCGTCACTGTATTGTAGCTTTCAAAGGAAAAAACAGAGATAGTTTGAATTTTAAGGGGACCCTCTGGTTGAATAAAGTAGGTCATAACTAGAACAGTCACAGGGTCATAACCATTTATGGTAAACTGCTGAAAATTGGCAGGAGGCAAGTACATGACCCTCCGTACCAGCCAACAAGTAGAGTTGACCAGATTTGTTTATTCCTAGTTAATAATTAACAAGCACAAAGACTCTATCATTTTAAACTGTTGTTCTGCCCCCTTAAATTTAAAGCACAAAATACATCCAGCTGGTTTTAAGAATAATGGATCTAATTAAAAAGCACTACAAACCTATTGAGCGAAATCGGGTTTCAATCATTAATGTTGCCATGGCAACTAATTCATTCCAAGAAAAGATTAACTCCACAAAACATCAACACTTTTCAGTCAAACTAAACTTTGCTCAATAGGTTTGTAGTATGACATGTCTCAAATAACTGTGGCAAATTTGGTGTTGTTAGCTCAAATACATCCTGATAAATTTAAGGGGGCAGCACGATTTGCATGAAAAATCCATATTTGCGGGAAATGTGATTTAAAGGAAAAGGTGTATGGAAATATGGGTCCAAGATGGCTTTTAGAATAAAAACACAGTATGTTGGTAGAAATGTTTCAAAACAAATATGCCCAAAGTTATTTTTTGATCTTCTACACACCACATGACATCCCGACATGTCACGCATTCTTGAAGGACCAATCAAATATAATGAAATGGATCCTTTTGTCTAAATCTGACAAGCGTATCGCGTTCCAAAACAAAATGTTCACGTGCAGCGATCGGCGCAGTGATACGCCAAATAAAGCGGTAAAAAAGTTAAAATCAAGAGAAAATTTGGAAAACAAGAAATGCAGAATTTGCAAAACCAGGCTAGTCCTCCGATATGGGAAAGCAGGTTACGTGCAACGGAAAATTGATCCTTGATCCCCAAAAGAAAAGAAGACAGTGGCCCCGAGTTTCACGACTTAGCGAACCGGAAACTTTGTATGAGTATTGTATTGAACTTGCTCGTCAGTTGACGCATTCATAAGTTATCAGACACAATTTGCAAGGCATGTGGTCGGAATTTAAGAAGCACATATCTTTTTTTCAAATTACTAGTGTTGGCCGAAGATAAAACTAAACCTAGCAGCGATGGTGGTCTGTCATACAATGCGAAGAAGAGACGGTTAAGGGGCAATTGCCTTCCACGATCTCGCCTCAAAGAACGAACTCGAAAGTTTGCAGAAAATCAAGCGCAGCTCAGAGGTCAATCGATTTCGGGCAGAGAGAAAGCGAGGCCTCAGTTTTAGTGTACTTGAGCACAGAGGAACTTGTCAACAAGCCGGCCGCCAGCGCAAGTGGACGGGATTTGGCTTTTTTCTTGAGAAATCATGGGTTTTCGAGCAGGTGGTTTTTCTGGGTTAACCTCCCCTCCCACCTCCCCCCTCCCCCTCGCTTTGTCACTCGTCTCAGATCTTCCACCCGTCCAATGTGGCGACCGCATCTTCTTCGCGCTGAATCTCGCGTTTGAAAACACAAATCATCGCCTGCAAACAGGCTATGGGGCTATTGGTCATTTCGAAAATCGCTTTTAGATTTCTGCTTCGTGTGGGGCTTTAGATGTCTCGAAGTACAAGAAATGCGCGGAACAACTGCTTGACGCACTTGATATTTCCCAAATGAGAAATACTCTGTTACGTATAGCAATAACTTTAACTCTGATTATTGTCCAGTACAATACGTAACGAGTCGTAATCACCTTCCTATTTTGGATTTTCTTTCATGAGATACAACCAAGTTTTAACATTCTTCCTTACTCGTTCTGTCACCATAGCGGCTGCAGACAGGTACCGGCAACGGTAAACATAGAGGCAGGATTTACTCAAGGTGGCTAATACATTCTACGCGAGTTCGTCGATGGACTTTTAAACAGCAGACCTTTATGGATTAAAGGTGAGGTTACTTATACGTGGCCTTTTTTGTTCCTATTCAGTACAGTAAAATACCCGAAAAAAGAAACTTTTAAACAGTGCTTTCTCATAAGAGAATTTAGTTTTCCCTACGTTTTACTCGCCTCGTCCTATTATGGGCGAAAGTTACGCCACTGGTAAAATGTCGTTCTTTATTTTACAATGCGAGGGAAACAAAGCAGTCATAACAGAGCCAATTCACGGAGCAGATCCTGAGGAGAATTCTCAGCGCCTGCCGTTAAATGGAACTTCTATTACTGTCTACTGGGCAGTGAACTTATTTCTGATCAAAACACAAGGCTAAAGGCTCAGCTGTTGGGCCATAAATAGTGAAGGTTAAAGGGAAACAACCAACAACTGATCACGTGATCTCCCGCCGAGTGACAAGCTTTCTCAGCTTTTGCCTAATAGCGTATTTTCAAAATTTCCCCATCTCTTTCTTCACACAATACGTAGCTCCGGGTACACAAGGCTTTTCAGTGACGTAGAACATCCTAGGTGTCGAAATTAATACTATATATATGTCATGCTAACTTGATTAAATGCTACTTTCAAGCAATACCATAGCTATCGATATTACAGGTGCGAAATGCATAAACAGAACTTTGCCGTTCCGATTCTTCTAGCCTTGAACACGGTATCGTTAAGTCGATGGTCTGTTTATACAAACTCTCAATCCCGATGCGAGCTGAACAAAGCCCATCAGGACCAGATTCTGTGTTTCACGCCTCCCTGTTTCTTTACTTTCTTCTTTTTCTCTCCTTCTAATGTATTCGTAAAAGTGCTGCTTACTCAAACATTTGCATGTGCTTTGCGCAGGGTGGGTACCTGCAGCTTTTCAACTTCGCGATCAGTGACACCGCCACATTCACTTAAAGATCGCCGCTTTTTAGATCGCGAGAATTCATTGGCACCAGCTTCAATCCACCGGAGTGCCGTCCTTCGTCTGTTATCCTCGGGTCATATGGCTAAAAATGCCAAAGCAATTTGAGACACCTCCCCTTTCTCTGGAAAATGTCTCCGATGGTGAAAGTTCCTTAAAACGGACTGACTTGAAAAGCAAATACGGATGAATAATAGGAAGCGTAAGTGTTATACTTGGCTGCCCACTTTGTGATTCCCTCAGGGGTACTCATTCGAGATGCTGGAAAAATACATAGCAAACTGTTAGCGGGCGTCATGTTTAAGATGTAAAACACCCTGAAGGGTCTCCACTCGGGTGGTGAGAATTTTCGGTTTACCGTATGAACGTTACGCAGTAGAAGGTCAGCATCTTAGATCACGCTTCCACATTTCTCCAACTTAAAATCAAAGAAGCTATTTACTTTCAATGGGAGCAACCTATACTTAATCATCAACCTTTCCTTATTCTTGCATACATTGTTTTGTGTCTATCGCTGTTTTGTCCCATGGGCATTTTGTTATGCACTTTATATTAAACTTTGTTCTTTGTATAAATTAGAAGATGACTTCTGAAAAAGGTCGCTGCTTTCTTCGCAAGTCGGGTCTCTCAAAAGAGCCCTATATCCGGGTTTTGCTGGCGGGAACATTTCTTGCACCGATGGCAGCAGCGCGTTTGTGGCTTTACGCTGTCTCCACTGGCATTCAACATCAGTTCGACTAAGGGTATAACGGCCATGAATAAACAAAGCGGCAGCATGACTACACTTAGACTTTCCTCTCGGGCACTGACAGTCCGTTGACTTGATGTTCTCTTCTTCATCTAAATAAATCTAAAGAAGTGGTAAAATTTTGTAGACTTTTTTCTTCATGCTGGCATGAACCTCTCCACGAATCACGCCATCGTTACAGAAAAAGCTTTTAATATGATTAGATTGATAGTGATTTTCACCTCTGGTTAAAGATTCTTGCTCATCTGCGAAAAAAGAAGCCAACCATAATATCGAGAGCGCCGCCATGTTGGTTCCTGGCCGTTTTGTTTAAACCCAAATTGTTTGGTTGCCTAGAAACATGACATAACGACTTTAGAACTCTATTCTCTTAAATTCGTGACATATCTGCTGCTATCCAGACTTTTATCTTTCCAAGGCTTTCTTCTCTTAATTTTTGCGATTTTTTTTTTTACTTCTTGTACTTTATGCAAGATTTTCGGCGCTTGGTTTGGAGGGATATTTTGCGCAGGCAATCCTTTGCACTTTATCCCAGAAATTCGGATAAGCGCAACTGAAAATCAACGCGTGAAATTGAGCATGACATGAAAAAGCTGAATTCTGGGGTGAAATGCAAATTTTCGCAGGCAAAGAATTGGTTCAACGACTGAAGTGGTTTATCATGTTATGCGAGTGGCCGAGCACAATTTATTTGTCGTGGAATAGAAGTCAAATTTATCGGATGGAAGCTGTTCAAAAGGCAATTTTTTCCTGTAAATAATCGAAGGATTGTTTGATTTACAATTGGTTATTTCAAGGTGTGAACTTTTATACAGCAAGACAGTAAGTTGATTCTTATTCTATCGCATAAACGATCTCGTATTCGACTCTAACTCCGTCATACATTTTCAGTTCTCCGAAAGAGCTCGTGTAATTCAAACTACTGGAACAAGACAGGCCTACATAGTGCAATACGAGAGTTAAAATGTACATCCACTGGCATGTTATGCTCCACTTAAGTTAAATCAACGGCCACTTAAGAGCAAACTCGAGCATATTTTCTGTTTGATTAATGATACAAACCGGCGAATACGACTGAAAATCGCCTTCACTTCATTTGATCATTCTGCTGACCAAAAAAGGCAGCTGTTGTGTTTTAGAAAATTTGAGTATTATGTTATAGAACAGAAACAAACAGAAAAATTATCCATTCGTATTCAATAGACCCTTCCACGGTTTTATCGGCCATATTGCTTGGGGGTCAAACAAAACCTCGTTGCGTAGCAACGAGCCATAGAATCTCTTATGATAAGAAGACGCGCATCGCTTCCCTGCCATTCTCGCACCATGGCGGCCACGAGGTCACCTTCAAACAACATATCAATCTGCCTATAAAACGCAGTGATAAAAAGATACTGCGCCAAAAATTCGGCACTTACTTTCAGTAACGCCTTATCTATTTTCCCACTAGATTTGGAGACGAAAGTAAGGGATTTTCCCTTTATAAAGTTACGATATTGAGCGAAGGTACCGCCGACGCGCGTCGAATAATTACGAAAGAATATATTGCTTGTTGCTACGCAACGAGGTTTTGTTTGACCCCCAAACAATATGGCCGTAAAAACCGTGGAAGGGTCTATTTATGCGTTATCAACCAAAGCCTCACGTCAAATTGGTCCAATATTTACCACAGAAAAGTAAAAACCAATAATCGCAATATTTAGCTATTCCAAGTCGGAAAGTTTTATTTTAACGCACGAAACGTCAGCTTAGAAATTCTTTGCAGTAACCAATTTTCATTATCAACTTCAGTCACTGTCGTATGGGACAACTCTCCGAAATTTCTGGAAAACATCTTTTTTTAACTCAATCAGTATCAAGAATTTCCACTTTCGGAAATGTTTTGATCCACTGATGAATACCTTACAACTGTCACGGCAAAACAAAAAATTCACGGCCAGACAGTTATCTCGCCGAAATCAGTTAACTTTCGGCAGAACAAAAATACAACAATCCGAGTTTTAAAAGAAGTTTGGTCCGCGGCTTTCAATTGCATTTTAAATGGTATGTGTATTAAATAAAAATTTATGAAGCCATCGATATTAGGGACTATGTGGTTTGTCTTAGAGTGCCTCGATCATGTTATGATTACTGTAGCAGTGACTTGACTACCGTTATTTGGATGTAGAAGAGATGCAAGTACGACTATTTAAGATAAGAAAAACTTATATACTTGTTACCTTTTAAAAGTAAAAACTTACCAAGTTACTTCCGATCATCATAATCATCATCATCATCATTATTTTTATCATTATTATTATTGTTATTATTATTAACAATTATTCCACGAGCGCGCGTTGGATATAAGATGATAGATAGCCAACGAGGCGCATAGCGCCGAGTTGGCTATAATCATCTGATATCCAACAAGCTCCCCTTTAATTTCAAGCTGACACGTACGCTTACCATATTTGTAGATTACGGTATATTGGCTGATATACCATAATGGCTAAGCCAATAAAAAGTCTTGAATTGCATTATCCAACGATCTAGATAATTATTATTATCGGCAAATTGCCATTACTATTTAACAATTATTCTCCGAAGGCGGGGTGAATATCATCGAATAATCCCCGAGACGAAGTCGAGGGGATTATTCGACAACATTCACCGAACCTGAGGCGAATAATTGTTTTAGAGAAATTTCTAAAATCATAACATTTTAGTAACATTTATTAACATTTTATTTTAACATTTTATATCAACCGCGTGGAGCGGTTTATATAGCGTCATATAAGGAACCGCTCGACCAATCAGCCTGAGATTGCTTGAAACTCTTTGCTCAGGTCTGAAATTATACTAATAAGAATTATTTGGTAATGATTACTAACTCTGCTAAAGTTTGACAAGAGGACATGCGATACGTTCGGCTGTAAATCATTTTCTACCTCAATTTCACTACATAATGCTAATCTTTGGTGTCGGTATACAAAGCTCTATCAGTTTGTGTTAAACAATAGCCCTAAAAATTTAAACCTCTCCTAAACGTATAAAGGCTGATAGTTTCTAAAGAAACTGTTTGGGGCTGCGTCGGTGGTGGTATTTATTCGAGTTTTTCTCGTTGCCATGTTCCCACCAATCACGTAGCTCCATTTTCTTCCATTAAAAGCACACAACCCACAATTCCTCTATTCGCTCCGACGAAGGGCTAATGCTCGAAACGTCAGCTTTTATAATCGTAACGGTGGCCAATTTACCATTTCAACTTTGTTGATATATTCAAATTATCTCCTAAACGTAGCCGATCTGAGACTGGCTAACAACTTTCGTGTATTGAATTCAAACAAACTTATGGCTATTTCCTCCATTTCGTTCACTATTCTTATAAAACGTGGTATAAAACATATTAGTTCCAGCTCTAGAAAAAAGGAAGAAAGAGGGACTCTGGGAGTTCTCTTTTTTGACATTTAAAGTCAGTATCGAGGAATTTGTTGCGAGGGTCAAACAACCAAATATTTTTTTTCGTCTCAGATAATCAACGATGAATGTCGTAAAAGCTGGGAATTTCACAGAAGGACGAGGACGCCTCCCGTCAAAAGGCTCGCCATCCATTCATCAGAAAGCACTTTTCGTATTTTGGTTATCAGCAGTATCCCTGGCAGCTTTTAGGAAGCTTCTATTGTTTTTCAAAGTACGAGATATCCATACTTTCCGTCTGATAGCTTCTGGTAAGTCTGTGTTCTTTCCTCTTAAAAATAACTGATTTTCCTTGCCTTTTAGTTGTGACTTTTAGTTGTAAAATCTAGGGACTAAGTGGCCTAAGAACCGAGAATTAAATTGAGCTCATAGGTCCTACAACCCCGATTTTGTGCTAAATGTGACCAAACACAGCTAGCATTGTCTAGCCATTAGTAACTCTATACGCATCTACATAAAAGGGTGATATCAATATTATGATGGCCCTTCTAAGAAGCGTTTCCTATAGTTTGTACTCACACTCTTTCTCGCATTTCCTCCATAAGATGATAAAGACATTCATCTTGGACGGGCAGAAAATGGTGAAGTACCGCAACAAGTTGTCCAGAGTAAGGAATATCACGATGCTGTGCAGGAGAATGGTCCCGGGGGAAAGTTGGCAACACCAGCATTTGGTAGTTCCAGACCGTCATTGGATAATTTCCTTTACAGTGTAGCTGTATTTGGACTTATCATGTTCTTCTATCATTTGTGCGATGATGAACACTATTTTCCCGCAACCGAACGCACTTATTCACGTGACTTATTTTGGTTTCTAGTCCTCTTAATTTTTGCGGTAAGCGTTGGATTGACGAGGAAGGAGACTACAGACAAGATATTAAACCGAGAACAGACCGAGGAGTGGAAAGGCTGGATGCAGGTCATGTTTGTGTGGTATCACTACTTCAAGGCTGCAGAGACTTACAATGCCATCAGAGTGTTCATTGCTGCTTACGTTTGGATGACTGGTTTTGGTAAGCTTATGACCCCTTTCATTCAGCCACATTCATTACGAATCTCAAATATCTACGTTTTTGAGACGTGATCGGCAGCCGAGGGTCGACCAAAAGTCGACCAAAAGTGGACCTAAAGTAGAATTGGATTACTCAAACGATCAGAATGGCATTGAGTCTCAAAAACGTAGGAGCTCTAGTTTCGTATTGTAACCTTAGTGGTTGAGGTAAGGTGGAGAACTACTCCGCAAAGTGTAGTAGTAAACATTGTAGAAACTGAATGCTGAGGCAGATTGAGGGTATTGACCAAAAGGAGAAGATTGCGATCAGTCTGAGAGCAAACGTAAGAAATCAAAACTTTAAAGTGCCATTAACCCCCAAATTTTTTTAAAAGAAATTTTCTTGTCACTGATCAACACAGTGAAAGAATTATCGCAATTGAATGAAACCTCGCGATTCTGCAAGCAGTCAAAACTTAACTTTTTATGTTCACGACCGCGCATTTTGGGACCTGGGTCGGGGAAGTTTGTTACGTCATCCCGGGAGCTTTAATGAAAAACTAAAGACGCTTTGCTAAGGCAAAGGTGAAACATAACCCAAATAAAAATTAAAACGGTTCAAAATCGCAAGGAAAACAGGGTCAAAGGTAGAAGGATAAAAGATTGAATCACACTAGCACACATCAGGAACCCGTCAAATGAACAACTGACAGATGAAAAAACACACGGCTGATAAATTTGCCCCAGAAATTACTTTCTCGGACACAAATTAAAAGTGTGCGAAGGCGTATTTGTATATGTATATTTTCTATTATCTTCGGGATATTATGGAATAAAATTATGCATGGATTAACATTGATGATTTGGAGAGTGATGGGACAAAACGACAATTAAACATAAACCCCGATGTTAGCTCATAAGATTCCAAAATTCAATGATCGCCAAAAAAAGTTGTAAATTCCTGTAGTCTATACTTCATGCGTAAATTTCTTTTAAGGATACGATCCTGCCTAGTAAATGCATCATGTTTTTCTTTCCCTTTAGGTAATTTCTCATTCTTCTGGGTTAAGAAAGACTTCAGCCTTTACCGAGTGCTTAAAATGCTTTTTCGACTGAATTTCTTGGTAGTGATGACGTGTCTCGTGGTGCGCAATGAATACATGTTATATTACATCTGCCCAATGCACACGTTCTGGTTCATATCCGTCTACTGCTTCATGAAACTGCTGAATAGTTGGAACGAAGACCCTAAAAAAATGACAGTTAAATTTTTGATATATTTTCTTCTTGTCTTTTTGGTGTTTGACGTACCAGGTGTCGGAAATATTGTCTTTAAGCCTTGGAGCTTTATTCTTAGCTTTGAGAATTCTCTCCATGAATGGATGTTCAGGGCGGGGCTAGACCATTATGCCACCCTTCTGGGTATGCTCTGTGCCTACTTTCATCCCAACTTTGAGAGATTTATGGGATATTTGGACGAAAAGTGGTCTGTTAAACGAATTGCCATACGTTGTGGAATTGCATCTGTTTGCCTCACATCCTTTGCTTTCTGGGTCCGTTACATCTTTTCGCTAGATAAGTACGAGTATAACAAGCTTCACCCATATTTTTCCTTTGTCCCTCTGCTATCATACATATTCTTACGGAATTTGTTTCCGGTTTTTCGAAAGTACTACTTTTACATGTTTACTTGGCTTGGAAAAGTAACACTAGAAACTTACATCTCCCAACTGCATGTTTATCTCCAGGGTAACGCCAAGTTTCTGATATCATTTTTCCCTGGATACCCATTACTGAATTTTGCTTTTGCGTCTGTTCTTTACCTTTTCTTGTCATATCACTTGTTTCATATAACCGTTGATATCAGTTCGTTTATTATACCCAAGGACTACAATTCTTTAGTGAAGATGCTTTCTGTTGGAATTGTGTGGTTAACAATGTGCTATGTTGCAGGGTTTAGTCTTACGGGATGGTATTTTTCCTAAATTAATTTGTTACTTGTTAACTTTGTGGATATCGTTCCATATACAATCATTCGCGCAGAGAGAAATAGTTAATAGACACGTAGGTGGTAGATAAAATTCGTCTGGATTTCTCACAGATAGGTTAATGTCATAATTCCAGTTTGGTTGTGATTTTAGTGTAGTTTAGATTTTTGATGTTCGAGCTGTTGCTTTCGGGGATATTGGAACTGATGAAATCTTCGCTCAAAGGTTGGATGTCACGAAAAATCTAAGGGATGAGACTAAAGGGCATGGCCCAAAAACTAGAGCCAATAAAGTAACAGAAGAGAGAGAAAATAAAGATATTTATTATCCAACTACACCTAGACGAGTACGAGTAACGCCATAGACTAGTACAAATATCACGCGGTATTTGTACTCGTCTATTGTAGTACCGGTTAAACTGGTTTTCTCGCATCGCGCAAGCGAAGAATTGGATTGTAGTTATGGAAAAAAAAAAGTGGCGGACAATTTCAATCATATTTCCGACGACGAAGAGTCAGAATGGCTGGCAAATATAGATCCAAGTTCATTTGATGAATCGAGCGAAGAAAAACAGCTTGACGACCAGAAAATTTCTTCATTTAATGAAGAAAATAGAAACAGCAACACAACAACGCGCCAATTCCGTTCCCCTTCGCATACTTCTGTCACGGACTCCCGTAAATAAATATCCGCGAAATTCGCCCGCAGAAACAACAGTTTGGCGTGTTGGATAATAAATAACTTATTAGACGTTTTGTTGTGTAGTATCGCTGAGTATTTTTACGAGTTGTGTCGTATTTTGACGAGCCCGTAGGGCGAGTCAAAA